CAAAAAAAAAAAAAAAAGATTTATTCCAGATATTTTCTCCTACTCCATAGATTGATTCTTTACTCTGTTGATTGTGTCCTTTGAGACATAAAAGTTCTTAGTCTTTTAATGAAGTCTAATTCATTTTTTTCTTTTTTTATGCTTTTGATGTCATAGCCAAAAAATTCTTGCATGTTCAATGCCATGAAGCTCCCACTATATTTTCTTCTAAGAATTTGTAGTTTTAGCTTTTATGTTTAGATCTTTGATCAACTTTGAGTTGAGTTTTTAATATGGGTCCATATTTTTAATATGATTTTTAAAATAAGGATCCAATTTCATTCTTTGTCATGTGGACATCTAGTTTTCTCAGTCTTGTTGAAAAGACTATTGAAACAAAGAACTAAGTATCACATGTTCTCACTCATAAGTGGATCTTGAACAACTATCATAATACTATAAGAAAAGGACCTTCAGTAGTGGGAATCTGCCTGGGGAAGGGGGGGCACACCTCATCAACAAGGTGTGTCCCCCTTCCCCAGGCAGATTCCCACTACTGCATAATGAATATTTGTATACCTAACCCTGAATTGTACCCCACAATTTTAAAATAAAAAATTTAAAAGTTAAAAAAAGACTGTCTTTTCCCCCCATTGAATGGGTTTGGTTCCCTTGTCTAAAACCATTTGGCCATATAGGTAAGAGTTTATTTCGGGGGCCCCATTCTATTCCATTAGTCTAAATGTCTGTCTTTAAACTAATATCATACTATTTTAATTATTGTAGTTTTGTGGTTAAGTTTTGAAATCAGAAAGTGTGAGACTTCCAATTTTGTTCTTTTTCAAGACTGTTTTGACTATTTAGGATCCCTTAAGATTCCCTATAAATTTTAGGATGGATTTTTCTGTTTCTACAAAAAATGACCATTGGGATTACAGCAGAGATCGCGTTAAATCTGTAGATTGCTTTGGGCAATATTAACACCTTAGCAATATCAAGTCTTCTAATCCATGAACATGGGATGCATTTCCATTTATTTGTGTCTTCTTTAGTAGTTTAACTCCTTTCAGAAACATTTTGTAATTTTTTTTTTTTGGAGTTGGAGTCTCACTCTGTCGCCCAGGCTGGAGTGCAGTGGTACACTCACGGCCACCGCAGCCTGGACTTGCTGGGCTCAGGTGATCCTTCTGCCTCAGCCTCCCAAGTAGCTGGAACTACAGGCACACACCACCACGACTGGCTAATTTTTTAAATTTATTTATTGTAGAGATGAGTTCTCACCAAATTGCCCAGGCTGGTCTCGAACCAGTGGGCTCAGGCAATCCTCTCACCTCGGCCTCCCAAAGTGCTGGATTATAGGTGTGAGCCACTGTGCCTGGCCTGTAATTTTCAGTGTACAAGTCTTTTGCCTCCTTAGTTAACTTTATTGCTAAGAATTTTATTTTTTGTTGCTATTGTAAATGGAATTGTTTTCTTAATTTCCTTTTTGAATTATTCATTATTAGTGTATAGAAACAACTGAATTCCGTGCTGATTTTGTCTTCTGCAACTTTGCTGCACGTGTTAATTCTTAACAGGTTTTTTTTTGTGCGTGTAAAATCTAACTTGTTTTTGTTTTGGGTTTTATTTTTACCTGGAGATGTGGGCAGGGATGGGTTTTCTTGCCATCTTCCAAAGTCAGTGGGTAGGCTTCAAGGATCCCAGCAGTGCTCAAAAGTGCTTCATGGAGGCCAGGGCCTAGTCCCGGTCACTGTGTGATCATTATAATGCAAGTGCTTAGCTGCCAAACCTATTTGCCTTCCAATACTTTCCCCTAGGAGTTTCTGCTGCACATAAGCTCACTCACCCCTCTCCTTTTCTGCTCTCTCTTGTTTTCAGAGACAGAGACATTGTATTTCTGCATACTCAGAGCAGGAGGAGTCCCAGCATCCCACTTCCAAATGAGCATGTCAGGCACATGCATTCAGAGAGGACAAGTGGAAGCCAACATTTTGTCCATAGCGAAGAGCCCTATTCCACAATACAACTAGAGTGGGAAGCAGCTTAGCTCCTCCTCCCAGCAAGGGTCCTGCCTCCCCATGGGGCTGGGAGCCAGCCAAGTTCTAGGCCGCATGGGTGGTTGTCTACTGCTACTAAGGGCCTACTATGTGCCAGATACTGTACTAGGTGCTGAACATACATTAGTTTTCATTAAATCGTCCCCCTAGCTCTACGAGATAGGTACTATGATTGTCACTGATTCAGCTGAGAAAGCTGCCAAAAACACAGGTGGCAAGGGGCAGAGCTAGATTCAGACTTAGGTTGGCCCAACCTTTTACCAAATGCATCTTGTCTTCCTCTTTCTTTCCAAAAGCCTATAACTTCAACTTACCAGTCCTCTGGGGGTAGGGCTTGTGTGGTTTCCTTCCTCTTATTTGACCTTGACATCTACTGATGTGACCTGGGTGAGGTCAACCATACTTCTGCAGAGGGTACTGTGCTTCTGCCCCCCAAAGGATCTGTCCATAACTCAGGAGGGTCTGTGGAACTCACACGGCTCTTGGCCTGAGCCCCCATTACTGAGAGAAAAGAGGCTTTTGCCAAGGACTCCAAGGGGAGTGGATACGACTCTGGTCAGGACCCAAGGCACCCAGCCCTTGCTGAGACATTGTGTGAGCCAGGCTGGGCTTCCAGACACAGCTCCTACAGCCCCACCCCAGCCAGGGTGGTGCTTGTGTGGGAAGGACTTTAAATCCAGCTGCCAGACCCCTGGACGGGAGAGACAGAGAGGGCTGGCCACCATGCACGGCTCCTGCAGTCTCCCGATGCTTCTGCTGCTGCCACTGCTACTGCTGGTGGCCACCACAGGCCCGGCTGGAGCTCTCAAGGATGAGGAGAAACGTGTGATGGTAGAGCTGCACAACCTCTACCGTGCCCAGGTATCCCCGCCAGCCTCGGACATGCTGCAAATGGTGAGTGTGACCGGGGCCCTTGACAGCACGGTTGGAAGGCCTGCCGGGCAGGGCCCACCACGAATCCTTCTCCTACTTCCCCTCTCCCACGCTGAGCTAGTTCAGAATCTCAGAGACTCATCTCTCTGGTCAGCGACAGAGTCCCTCAGTCCCTGACAATATAAATTTACAGGCCCCTATAAGCAGCCTGATTGTACAGATGAGGAAACTGAAGTCAGAGGGACTTGTTGGGGTCCCAACAAGTAGAGCCATACCTGGGAACTCCGGCTTCCCACTCTAATGACCCTTCCCCAGCACTTTCTAAAAGGTGCCCCGGGAGGGGAGACACAGGAAGCTCTCAACACCTTTGTGAAATGGTCCTTCAGATGCCCTCCAAGGAGAAGAGGAGAGGGGGCAGGGCAGCGGGATGGGTCTGGACACCAGGATGGGAGGTAGGCACTAAGGGAGGGGGGGTGAGGGCATGATCCAGGAACAGAGGGAGATCTGGATGGCACAGCTCAAATTCCATCTCGGTCCCCTACAAGACCTAGGTTTGGGGCAGCCCTGCAACCTTGCTGATCCAGTTTCTCTTCTGCAAAATGGGGTCATGATTAGAGCTACATTTGTTTTGGTTGTGGTTTTTTGGGTTTTTTTTTAGTTGGAGTCTCACTCTGTTGCCCAGACTGGAGTGCAGTGGCCGCTCCCGGCCACTGCAGCCTCGACCTGCTGGGCTCCAGTGATCCTTCCGCCTCAACCTTCCAAGTAGCTGGAACTACAGGCGCGCGCTACCACGCCCAGCTAATTTTTGATTTATTGTAGAGATGAGGTCTCACCAAGTTGCCCAGGTAGGTCTCGAACCTGCGGGCTCAGGCAATCCACTCACCTCAGCCTCCCAAAGTGCTGGGATTACAGGCTGAGCCTCCGAACCCGGCTTGGTTGTGTTTTTAGAGGATCGGCGCTCACAGACAGAATACTGAGTTGTGGGGGATGAAATCTCAAAACAAATAAGAGCATCTTTACACAAGTTTGAAAACATGTAAAAAATACTATTTATATGCCAGAGAAACATGCAGACATACTAAACACACATGTACCTGTGTACAGATGACAGAAGCCCAATTCAGGGCTGGTTCCTTCTGTCAGGGACAGAGAACTATTCAATGGCAGGGTTAGGAGCAAGATGTCTACACTCAAGTTTCGAGGTGACTGAGTGATTCACCCCCTCCTGCCTTCCCAGAGAGCTCAACTGGCCACCCCCAGGAGGTCTGGGAGGTTGGTGGGCAGCATCCAGGGACCCCCATAGCGTGAGCCTGAGAGCAGAGTCGCAGCTGGGGAACATAGCAGCAAACCCAAGGACCCAAAACTTAAGTTCTAACCCCAGTTCTGTCTGCTCTGGCTGAGTAACTCTGGATGGGCCTCTTTCCCTTCAAAGGCCTCTGCTTCCTGATGGAGACATGGGGCTGGTGATCCTGGCTCTGAGGGTCAGACAAGATGACATGTGAGAAAGATCTTGGCTCAGGCTGAGAGCCGTGTGAGTTCCACAGACTCTCCCGAGCTATGGACAGACCCTCAGGGGACAGAATCACAGTATCCTCTGCACATTCACCCAGCAGCACCATTCACAGCCCTGTTGGCCTTGGCAAGCAGAAAATGCAGACAATGCATCAGGAGGCCTGGATGCAGCTCTGCCAACAGCTCCCTGAGGCCTGAGACTCATTGTTGGGCCTCAGTTTCCCCATCTGTAGATTCCCGATACCCCATAGTGTTGCTGGCTGGGACTGGAGGCAACTGGAAGCTGATTCCCAGACAGAGATACATCTTGGGGTGGGGCGACATTCTGGGAAGCAGTTCAGATACTTTGGGGATAAGCCGCTGCCTAATGGGAGTGATCTGGGGGGAGCAGTGGAGAGAAACCAGGCTGGGGTGCCAAGGTCCATTTGGGCCAGGACTCAGTAGTGGTGAGTGCAGAGGCTCTGGAGTCAGGTGGCCTGGGTTCAGATTTTGGATTTGGTATTTATTAGCTTTGGGACCTTGGCCAAGTGACTCTACCTCACTGTGTCTCTGTCTCTTCATCTGTAAAATGGGGATGATAACAACTCCCTTGGTTGTGGGATTAAATGAGAGGATGTGTGTAAAGCACTTAGAACAGTGCCTGGCACACAGGAAGGGCTCACTATGTGTTTGATGAACACAAAACAGGGAAATGGATGCAGGGTGAGGCATATGGGGGTTACCACAGACTCTTCCCTCTCCCTCAACCTCCACATTTAATCATCACCCGTTTTACCTCCCAGAGGTTCCATTTTCCTTGAGCCTCATCCCCCAGCCCCCACCCCCACCCTCTTCGGCACAACCCGGCTCAGTCTTTCATTTTTGCACCCAGAGATTTGTAGGCTACCCCTTGCCTGCTCCCCAGCCTCTGGCCTCTGCTACCGGAAGGAATGGTTCAACATGTACGCCTGACCCTGCTCAAAATCCTTCAGTGGCTCCCACGCTTCCCCGGTGCCTCAGGATACAGCTGCAGCTCTGAGGAGGCGCTGTGTGTTCTGGCCCATGCCCACCTCTCCAGCTTCCTCTCCCGCTCACCCTTGGCTCCTCAGCAACCCAAACAGCATGTCTTTCCCCAGCCAGAGTGCTGTTTCTCAGCTCTGTGGCCTCCTCATGTGTACCTCTGATGGGATGCCTCTCCCCCTCCGCCTGGCTGATGCCTCATCTTTTAACACTTAGCCTGGCGCCTCCCGCTCTGCCCTCAGACTGGGCTAAATGTCCTCTTTGGTGCCCCTAGAGCACTTGTTGCATATCCATCATTTACCACTTGGTAGCCAATTGATTTTTATGGCAATGTGCACTTGGGCTTCTTGGTTCTTGCTGCTGTCTCAGGGCTGGCACAGTACCCAGGACTGCTGGATGTTGGATGGATGGATGGATGGATGGATGGATGGATAGATGGATTTGCTTCCAGAAGGTGATCATGCGGCCAATGTGGGCAGGTGTTGTGACTCTTGCAACTCCACAAGGCACTGACGGACTGGGAAGCCTTAACACCCAAAGCAATGACTCTCTCAGGGTGGGACCTGAGGCTACTCAGAAAGAAATTATAGCCAAGCTCTGTGGGGAAGGCTGCTTTAAGCTGGGCCCTGCTTAATCACCAATCACTAACAAATATCTGTTGAGCACCACTGTGCCAGCACCATGCCAGACACTGGGGATACATCGCTGCCCGCCCCTGAAGGAGCTTCCAGTCTAGCTGAAGTCCCACAGGTCCTCCCAGACACCCTGATTCTGGTTGCCTGCACACAGTCCCCTTCCCAATCCCAATCTCCGGCTAGTGCCAGACTTGAGAGAACTCCAGAGACCAGTGATTCTGGACAGAAACGTCCAGAGATGGAAGGGGACTCAGTGAGGTCACAGCTGTGGGGCTGTCCCAGCCAGGTTCTCCCAGACCCAGGCCAGGCAGCTGCTCCCCAGAGCCTTGAGTGGGTGGGGAGTGGGTGTGGCCACACAGCCCCCTCCCCCAGGGTCACCCAAGCTCTTGGCGAGTTCTTCACCGTCTGGCTCCCACAGCTGGCTGGGCCCCCAGAGGGTGGAGCAAGAGCCTCCTCCAGGCCATGGGTTTCCCGGAGAAGCCAAGGATAAAGTTTAATGGGATCCAGGCCTCCCTCCTCAGTCCTTTGGGTCAGATGCCTTGTTCATCCCTCTTCCCACCCGCATTCATCCTGTCCTCCCAGCCAGGGACACAGGACCCCTACCCCAAAACGTCCCCTCCCACACTACCTGAGGTCCCTACTGGAGAACATTGCCATCAGGATCTGACAGCTATTGGGTTACCAAAGCTCCAAAAATAGGCCCATGAGGGGCCTACGACATGAAGCGAGCACAGGGACTTAATTTTCTTGGGGAAAAAGGTTGTCAGTTGACAGGAGTTGAGAGCACTTAGGAATAGCCATGGTGAGGGAAGCCCGGAGAGGGTAAAGGCATGGGGCTGGGCTGTCCCAGGGGGAGAGGAGGGTTGAGAAGGAGAAAAGGGTGCTGGTCTCCTAAGTCACATTTGTGGTGGTGGGGGGAGGGGGGGACTGAATAAATAACCCAGCCCTTCAGCATCTCTGGGCAGCTTGTGTTCTTCAGAGCAGCTCAGGGACCCTGGGAGTAGATAGGGGCACTGACACGCACCTTTTATTACATACAAGAATGTTAACGATAACACTGTCACAACCGTGATTTCATTCAATCTTCTCGGTGCCCCTGTCCAAAATGACACAGCTGGTGAGCGGGCCCAAGTCTGGTTAACTCCACGACCTGGGGTGTGTTCTTCCACCTTCCCACAGCAGCCTCCCAGAGCAGAGCCTTGGCCAGGTCAAGGCCAAGAGTCAGCCCGTCAAGGCGGGGGAGGGGCGGAGAGTCTCCGGTTTCCAGAGGCTCCCAGGATCCCCAGGCCCTTCTGCTCTGGTCCCCAGAATCTGTGGGCATCCTCTCCTTCCTCCCCCACCTACCCTGCAGAGATGGGACGAGGAGCTGGCCGCCTTCGCCAAGGCCTACGCGCAGCAGTGTGTGTGGGGCCACAACAAGGAGCGCGGGCGGCGCGGCGAGAACCTGTTCGCCATCACCGACGAGGGTTTGGACGTGCCGCTGGCCATGGAGGAGTGGCACCACGAGCGCGAGCACTACAACCTCAGCGCTGCCGCCTGCAGCCCGGGCCAGATGTGCGGCCACTACACGCAGGTGCGGGGTCGGCAGGCCGGAATCCGCGGGGTGGGGGCTGGAGCACCT